TCTCATTGTTAACATTAGTTTTAACCTAGAAAAAATGTGCTAATGGTCACACAGCAGCATGTGGCCATGCAGGCCACTCAATGTTTCTTTGCAACTATTTGCTTGCCCCATCTGTGACTCTCATCATAATCATCATTTGGTCCCTGGTAGGAACATTGCCAAACTTGATACCTGGGAAGAGCCAATGTTCTTACAGTAAAGGACTCACAATGAATATCTGGGGTAAAAACAATCAAACAAGAGGATCATCACTGATATCACTGGCATGCTGCACTGGATTTGCCTGCATCCCCACCCCCAAGCTAGATGTTTTCACTGATTTGAAAAAAGTCATATATTTCTGTACAAATAATCATGCATATGGTTAGTTCTGGTTCTAGACTTCCAACAAAGATGATGTGCAAATTTTTGAAGTGCCAGCAGTTCCAAGTTTACTCGGCATTGTCACAATAAACATCCAAGCACACCAAGCAATGACAATGACAGCATCATAGACTGAGATACTCAGCTGACAATGCTGTGGACCAACCACTATTCATATCAAAGGACTGACATAAACAAGACCTACAAGGGATTGACAAAAATGACCATCAGGTAGGTACTAGGTACCTATAACATATTTAAGTGATGTTCAGACACACAAAAACACAATGCTCTCATGGACAAGTATTTTCTGGATAATTTTGGACCAGTCTTTCTACAGGGTGGGATGGTGCAGACTGATAGTCTCAACACTTGAAGTGTGGTTCAGCTGAAAGTTAACATCAGCCTCTCAGCCAAAACTATTGGAGGATCTTCTTCATAGCCCACAAAGCTTGCATCACCCCATAGCAACCTAACTCCCTACTAGTCATTTGCCAACTTAATTATCCCTGAATCACCCCTCCCTCATCCAAGGTGTGATTCAGGTGATGCACAGAGACATTCAGGTGATCGAGGGACTGATGCAAGCAATTTCTTTCACAATTATTCCCCTCCTTTCCACTTCAAGGGTTACAGATAATGATGATTGGTACTGTAGGGCACACCAACATCTGAGGTTATTTTATGCCCATAACTGGCATTAGGATGTACAACATACTTAAGTTAAAGATAAAAATTGCAACAAATATAATCAAATACATCAACATTATGGTAAGCCATCTATTCTGATAAACCTTTAAGCTAATGAGGCGGACAAAGGTGGAAAAGCAAAGCCACAGGAAAGTAACACGTCAACTTATGAACCCCACAAACGTGGGAAATCGGCCGGTGCAAAAGGACCCTGCATAGTTACACCGTGGGTAACCAATATGAAACAGGTAAGTCGAGACCAGGATTTCAACTTCAAGAATAAACGTACTCTGGTCACGTAGACTTATCAAACGTTTTATCGGGCTCCACCGAAAACACCAACAACGTGTAAGACCACACAGAAGCTGAGAAACCAATTTAAGCGATATCGTGAACCTCTCAGTTAGTTGTAGGCATGTTTTCCTCAGTAAGCCCCTGTCTCTGGTGCGCGACGCTGGCCGCTATTCACTGCCCTAACATGCTGTTCGAAGATTTCTCTGGGGGTTTGCAACCAAGTCTTCAATCTTACGCCATATCAAAAGGCATTTCTGCACAACAGCTAGAGCAAAATGATCAAATTACCACAATAAAACAGATGAAAGTTCCTCCTCTTATATGCAGGATTTCTCTTTAGATTGCAGTTTTGTCTCTGTCTTGACAATCTTTTAGTAACCTGTTTTACTTTATCTCCATTATTGCTGATGCTAATTACTGTCGTTATAAAACCAAGTGGTAACAGTACTTAAATGGGACCATAACTAATGGCACCGAACTGCTGAGATAGATAAAACGTAGCAGTTTTAATTTATGCAACTAATTTAACTGAAAAACATTATGCAGTACTTTAACGCACTCCATTCGTCTTTATCTGACGCAGCACAGACATTTCGGTGCCAAGAAGATTTTTGCGTTTGCTGGCGTGGTTTGGTTAGGCCGGTTGGGCGGTGTTGGAAAGGTTGGAAATGCTGCTGTGTTGCATTATTTGTGGGTTCGGTTGGACCATGTTCTGTACATGGATTGAATAGGGCTAAAGCAATGTAGCTATGATATGGTTACGGATTCGGTGCTAAAAAGTGGGTTTGTGGTTATTTATTTGTGCGTTTCGAAAAAGGCACACGTTTAAAATAAAAGGTGTTGCAGTAAGCCAAAGTCTCTCATTTACCCTGGAAGAAATTCAGTAAATTTTGATTGAAAAAGTAGGTTTTTAATATCAGTGAATATTGAGCTGCTGAGTTGCTTCTACTCTTGTGCATGTCGAAGGACATAACATAGACTAAAACACTCATAATGGAGGCTATGGCTGTATCTCACAAGAGGGCTGATACAAACTTATGAGCCTGTCTTCCCTACTACATTTATCAAATAAGCATAAAATGACCGAGGTGTTACGCAGTTACACAACTAGTGAACGTCCTGTAACCAGACTGGCACTATCAAGCCAACAGCCAGATGGTTTTCTTTGACATTAACACTTTTTCTGGATGGTGATCCCACCCTAGCATTTTTCACTACATCCAGAATGTGATCAACATAACTTAAGAGCTCCAGGAAAGATGGGCCTTGGTAATGACCACTGGTACATTTGCAGCAATATGCGCTCTTTTTGCGAGAATTTACTCATTACAGCCAATGGCTTTGTGATAAAGGTGATGTCTGTTTACTGCTACTTCACTAAGTGTTCATGTCATGAGATATAGCCTGTGACTGAGAAAGCAGTTACATACAGTTAAACTCAGATACGTGTAAGATAACAGTGATTGTAACAGTGGCAGTGCTTTCAACAATCCTGTTCAGGACAATTTTATGGGAATGTTTGGGCCACATCTGTCATCCTGTGGCCATTGTGGTTTAAAGTCTTAATCTGTGTTGTTTTATCATCTTTTTGGAATGTACCAGTTCAGGCTTTAAAGAAGTGTCTAAGGAAGAAATGCATTGCTGTGTTCAGCAGAAACTGGTGTCAATTAATAACATGCAATATTTTGCATTTAAGTCCAACTGATTTTTTAGGGGATCCTTTATTTGCTATGCTGATAAAGAACCAGTCCACATAAAATCAAAATAACTTGCATAATGTGACTGTATGTAATGTATGTAATAATGTGACATAATGTAACATACCCGGTCAATGGACTCTGTACACACCTAAGGAGCATGGTGGCAATTTATTGAAAGAATGCTCGCAGTGGTCCCATGAATAGCACATGCCTTTTTGTACCAGTTTCCACAAATTCTCATTACTGTTCGCTCAGAATGTCTTTTGTTCGTCATGGAAGCAGTTTCTTTTGGGCCTTAATCCCATGCAGATATTGGTCACAATGAATTGTTGATGCCATGAAACATAGTGGCATCAAAAATGTTGCTCAGTGCTGAGGCCCGGCCAAAATTTTGGGTGATGCCTGCCTGTCATACCAAAACTGGATCTTAAATAAAGCTGCACTGCTTTTGTCAGGGGACGCCGTGACCTAAGGCCAAAGACAACAATAAAATTGTATCACCCTGTGTAATTTTGCCGAATGGCTTGGTACCCACGCCTAGTAGTTGGATCCATTAATGTAGCGGGATGTTAACCACCCTGTGGAAACGCGAGCTTGTGCATATCAGTGCACCTACAAACACTAGAACTTGTAATACAAGTCGTGTTCGCTCTCATCGCCAGATATAAATCGAAACGGCTGAGCGGAGAAACGTTGCGATAAACTTGACATACCTAGGACCACGAGATTTGCCGATGATTGAAAGGTTGAGCTGAAAAGCTCCGGAGTGCCTTTGGAGTGCTCTGGAGGGCTCCCGAGTGCCTGTCCTTGATGGATAACCGCGTCCCGGCCTCACAACCAAAAACGGGGCGGTAATCTACGCCTACGCCAGTGACCGCCATAGAAGAGCGCATAAGGTGCCGCAAGGTAGCGTCTAAAGGGGCGCCTTGGTTTCCGATCGGAAGGGACACGTGTCTCCAGTGCCCTCCCCCCCCCCCCCCCTCCTGCTCTGGATCTGTCCCCACATGAGTGCTGTGCTGCTTAATTTAAGTTTATCATGAGGAATACAAAACTTACAAATATAAAGTGCTTTTTGTGAAAATCAGGTGAGCTAAAACCGATGAGAAAAAATAGGGTGTGGCTGGTAGGCTTTGACACATCGGTCCAGCCCCCTGCTCAATCATTTACAAAATTGACACTCTTGACCGTCATAGTGTGTTTTATCTTCGAGCAAGCAGAAGTAGTCATTGGTCTTTGAGAAAATCAACTCAATGGTTGCGGCCCTGGTTAAGAATGAGATTGTATGAGTACCTGTGTACCTATGATGCATTTTGGTTGTGGGATCATCAGCAGATTTGCGACCATAAAATTTTACTTTCCCGTATGTCGATGAGTGTTAAAGGGAGCTTTTTGCGATAAAAGCCGCTGAGATGTCCTCCAAAGCTCAGAAGTATGCCACTCTTTGCCCAGATTGGGCCATCTTTGAGAGGTCATGTCCTGGTTGGCCCCCTTAGATCCACCCTTCATGAAACAAATGTTTGGTGGTATGCGTGGTACTGTGCTCTAAATTCTGAGATGAGCTGGTGCAAAAGTGTAGCTTCTAGGATATTTGCAACTGCTTTAAAGCTGTGTACATTTTCTGGTGCAGGCCATTGATCACAAGCCTGATTAGCAGCAAAGCTGCTTTTTCACATCTTGCTGATGTAAGCCCACTGTTAAACCGTACCCAATGCACACCTAATGTTTTAACTCTGTTCCTGGAATCATATCCAACTAGCTATCAAGCTTCTACAACAACTGCACATGCTTCCTCATTTTAGGGAGTGGCCAGCAGGTGCCAAAGAGCCGTCCGTGACCTAGCGTCGGCGGCCAGCAGGTGCCAGAGATCCGTCCGTGACCTGGCGCCCCGGTCGCGGCCTAGCGTCGGCGGCCAGCATGCTGCAGCGCTGTCTGACGCCGCACGGCCTGCGGGTGACCTGGTGCCGGCTGCGCAGCGTCCGCCCGCGGCCGGCCGGCCGCCGCCTGCACGCGACGGCCGGTCTGCGGCGCGACCAGCCGGCGAGCTCGCAGCTGGTGCCGCGCACCATCTTCGCTGATGCTAAGGTGCGAGTTCACAGCTGGTGCCGCGCACCACCTTCGCTGACGCTAAGGTGCGATTTCATAGCTGGTGCCGCGCACCACCGTCGCTGACGCTGAGGTGCGAGTTCACAGCTGGTGCCGCGCAACATCTTTGCTAACGCTAAGGTGCGAGTTCACGGCTGGTGCCGCACACCATCTTTGCTGGCGCTAAGGTGCGACCTGCCGGTGCTGGCAGGCGGCCGAGAGAGGGACTTAGCCCGGTACATGTGAGAAACACAAAGAAAATCAGATGAATCTGGTAATCTAAGATAACACATGGTAATAACATGAATGAAGCCATGGATACTGCCCTGCTCCTCAATGAAGCCGAGAACAAGTGGGCTCTGCGTGTGCTCTGCCTGAAGATTTGGGCGTTGTACCATTGGCGTTAGGTGTTGTTTGGACTGCGTGATCCGGCTACCACTCAGCACTGATCCAGAAATTACAGCTACTTCAGCTGAGGGAATATGCGTCAGGATCCCCAGAGTGCGTGCCGTGTCTGATGTTACTTATATATATATATATATATATATATATATATATATATATATATATATATAGTGGCTAAGCAGGGCGTCCGTGTCACAGTAGTATGCGCTACAAAAACACTACCTGGCTGCCCACTTTGTGTTATAGTTATGATACAAGATTATTTTTGCATTAACTTGAATTTGGTTTGTTGACTTCAAAGGAGAAGCAAAAAAGACAACTCCCAACACATACTGGGGTCTCAAAGCCGTTTGTGCCAAACAGAAGGTTGAAATGTTTCAGGAATGGTTACAACACATCACACTCCTGACATTTGTGCGTGAAAGATAAGTTTTCTTATGATGAGTCCTCTGATAATTTATTCAAAATATGATAATTGATCAGTAATGTTCCGTACTTGCGTGAGCAATATGTGTGTTGCCAATGTTGCGCATTCCATCCATACACAACGTCGGTCATACTCATACACGGCACCACAGGAGAAGAACAAGGAGACCTATCTGGCGGCCATGGACATGTTCCACGAGATGACGGTACACAAGAGGGGGCACGTCGAGTTCATCTACGCCGCGCTCAAGGAGATGGAGAACTTCGGTGTCCACAAGGACCTAGAAGCCTATAAGAAGGTGCTGGGCGTGTTCCCGACCGCCCAGCTGGTCTCCACCAATGTGTTTCAGGTATGTACTTTGGAAAATGATCGGAAAGTGATGGTCAAGGCTTGGCATGTCAGGTTTGAACATGAAACCCGATGTGGGGTGTTGGATGGTGCCGTCTTTTTATTGTCGGTGGTGTGAATATGTTGTTTTGTCGTTGGTATAAATGATCAGCACACCTCTCGTGGCGCTCTCCGTGGTTGTCGTCATACCAACAGGTTATTCACACAATGCTGTGACAATGGAGTCTGAAATATGCTAACACTGGGATGACGTTTATCTTAACGAGCGAGGTTGCCGCGGTTTGTGCTCCGCGCCATGTGTGTTTTGTGCTTTGTGCAGTTGTGCTCCATTGGTGCTTACGAGTGAGATTGTGTCCATGTGCTCGGTATTGTAATCCCAGAGACGACAGGTCGACTGTAGGACACGTCGCACGAACGTTCCATTGTGCGACAGCACCGCGTTAAGTCTAAATATACATCCTAAGAGCACGCTGACGCGTGTCAAAACTCGCGAGGCACGTCTTGCATGAAGTTCGTAATGTGAGCGTGACTGTGGTGGTGTTCTGTTTTGTAATGGAAGTGGTCGTATTGCCAGCGAGTGGGATGTTCGCTGGGGACGTTATCTCTGTTGTCGGTATGAAGGCAGGCATCGACTGAGCCCTGTCGCGGGCTTGCTTGCCAGGTGGAGTTCATGCACTACCCGCGCCAGCAGAACTGCGCCATCGACGTCCTCCAGCAGATCGAGGACAATGGTGAGGAGCGGCCTCAGCGGCGGTGAGGGCTGAAACGTCAGAAGCCAGCTGTCTGCAGCCCTCCGTCAGGCTCTCGGGGCGCCGAGCGTGCGTGCGTGCTGCTAGCGGTTCCTCACGCGGTGCGACGCCGGCCCTTGTGAAGGCGATCGCTCCTTGTGCAGCAGCATTGGCCGCGGTCGTGTGCGTGCAGCTGTGGGAGAGTGCTTTTGCCCAGCTGGTGTGGACGTCCCCAGTGGTGATGCGGTGTAGCGCTCCGTGCTGCGAACGTAACGCCCGGCCCGCCGCTCCAGGGGCGTCAGGGCGCAGCCAAACGCAGGCCGCTCGCAGAGCGTGGCGTTGAGCGTGCTTTACTAGACACAGTGCCGTCTTAGGAGATGTTGTGTAGCACGAGACTGCAGATGAAAGCTTCCCTCAACCATGCATCCGAATGTCGTGTTGCGCCCCCCCCCCCCCCCCACATGCAAAGTGCGCTAATGTCATCGTCCTGGCGGCGTTTGACGTCGCTATCATCAGGTGTCGTGTGACACCCATGCGCGTCACCTGTACAGGTGTCACGTGACCCTAGTTTGCCCGGCAGGCGTGATGCCCGACTTGGAGCTGCGCGACCAGCTGATCAACATCTTCGGCAAGTTCTCGTTCCCGGTGCGCAAGCTGGCGCGCATGCTGTACTGGATGCCGAAATTCCGCAACCAGTCGCCGTGGCTGCTGCCGCGCCCGCTGCCGAGCGAGGTGCTGGCGCTGGCGCAGCTGGCGGTGGCGCAGATCTGCTCGGTGGACGCCCGCTCCGAGGTCACGACCTTCGCGGTGAGCTGGGAGCGGCCACTGTCGAGGCGGGGCCGGCGCGGCAGCGGGGAGTCGTCCCGGCGCGAGCCCGTCCCGTTCTGCGATGTGACGCAGGTGGCGCGCGGATGCGGATTGGGGCGCTAGATGCCCGCACGGGGATTATCTTTATGTCGGGACGGCCGGGAGGGTTGTTCGGGTTGTGATGTCGCGAACCGCACCTGGGCGGTGTCTGACCCCATCCCCTGACGGCAGGAGGACGAACTGCCAGAGGACGTCGAGGACGGCACTTGAGCGGTGTCTGACCCCATCCCCTGACGGCAGGAGGACGAACTGCCAGAGGACGCCGTGGACCGCACCTGGGTGTGTCTGACCCCGTCCCCTGACGGCAGGAGGACGAGCTGCCGGAGGACGGCCGTGGACCACACCTGGGTGGTGTCTGACCTTGTCCCCTGACGGCAGGAGGACGAACTGCCAGAGGACGCCGTGGACCGCACTTGGGTGGTGTCTGACCTTGTCCCCTGACGGCAGGAGGACGAACTGCCAGAGGACGGCCGTGGACCACACCTGGGTGGTGTCTGACCTTGTCCCCTGACGGCAGGAGGACGAACTGCCAGAGGACGCCGTGGACCACACCTGGGTGGTGTCTGACCTTGTCCCCTGACGGCAGGAGGACGAACTGCCAGAGGACGCCGTGGACCGCACTTGGGTGGTGTCTGACCTTGTCCCCTGACGGCAGGAGGACGAACTGCCAGAGGACGCCGTGGACCGCACCTGGGTGGTGTCCGGACAGAGCCAGCAGCAGCGCGCGCTGCTGGAGGAGCATCCGACCGACCAGCCGCTCTACGTGGAGGGCGGGTTCCGTGTGTGGCTGCAGGACCAGTCCATCAGCTACTTCGTGCTGCGCGCCGAGCCCCAGGAGCAGCAGAAACACGAGGGGCTCGACTCAGACGGTACGGTCACGGGACAGGACTGGGTCAGTGGGTCGATGAGGGATGGGACTCGGACAGTACGGTCACCAAGACAAGACTGGGGTCAGTGGGGCCAGTGGGGATGGGACTCGGACGGGCGCGATCACCAGGAAAGAGCTGGGTCAGTGAGGGTCGGTGGGAGATGGGACGCGGGCGGTACGCGGGCGGTACTGGTCACGATGACAGGACTGGGTCAGTGGGGTTCGATGAGGAATGGGACTCGGACGGAACGATCACGAGGACACGGATGGGTCATTGAGTCATGAAGGATGGGACCTCGGACGGTGCAGGTCATAAGGTAGCGTAGTGAGGATTCTTTCATCAAGCATTTAAATCATAAATGGAAAAGTGTAAACAGCGCTGTTGGCGCTGCTTTTACCACTAGAACTGTCGCCTGTGGACAGCGTGTATGTCGTCCGTATTTCGGGCATCATTAGGGGTTATCGCCTTCGAACCACCTCCCTCTGAAATACATTACAATTCCTGCTCCGTCGCGGCCGTGCCCCGTCCCGTCCTTTGGATCCTGTACGCCGCGCTGGGGCCGGGCGGGGGGCACACTCCGTCGGGGGCCTCCGCACCCGGCGGCGTCCGCTGTTCTCGCCGTGACCCGTACGGCCCTACCCCGCCCCAGACATCACCTACCTGGAGAACTGGACGTGGCGGCGCAGCAGCCGGACCGACCGGGAGTCGGCCTGGGACGAGAGGCCGCCCAGCGTGCACAAGCAGGAGGACGGCACCATCATGGCCGTCTGCGTCACGGGTGAGAGGGCACGGTCGGCCCGGAGGCCGTCGTGAGTGGAGTCCAGTGCCGGTCGGCCACGATTGTAGGGTAAGAGGTCATGTGGCGAGGGATTGTATGGAAAAGGTCGTAAGAGAAAGGTCGTAAAACATGGCTCGCGACAAGATATTGGTTTGCAAAACATTAATTTAAAAGCTGCAAGCAATAGATTGGACGGGATAAAGATCGTGATCGATTGAGAACATGCTGCATAATAAGCTAGGAGCAAGGTCGTTGGTATATTGAAGGTCGCTAGCTCAGCACGAGAAGTTTTAACTCATAATGCCAAAAGGACGCTCTCCGTATACATGTGACCAAGGTTCAAGCCACCAGATACAAAACTGCATGAAAGGTAGCGTTTAAAAGCACCGGAAACAATAGGTACCGGCTGAATGAAAACGTACGCAGCATTTCAAGCAGCCTGACATCCAGTTCATTACACTTTGTACGTCTGATACACGTATTCGTAGGCGTATCTAACACATGCGATACACATGGCAGACGAGTGTCAACCGTTCAGCGCCTGAACCACACGCCAAAGGTGGTTACTTTGCACGGGGTGCCCCTGTGCATCCGGTAGTCTAACGCCCTGCCGTCCGTGGTCACCCCGCAGGCACCTCGAGCCGCGACTCGCTTCTCTCGTGGATTCGGCTGCTGCAGCGGCGCTCCCCGCGGCTCGCCGAGCTGCCCGTCCTCTTCACGCTGCGCTCGCCGGTCACAGATGTCGCCACCGTCTCCGAACCCGACGCTGGTGACGTCACACCCGACCCGCGGTGACGTCACACCCGCGTAGCGGTCCTGTATTACCGGCGGCAGCGGGTGGCCTGTTTTCGAGCCGCTTTTCGAAGTTTGCTCACCAGTGACGAAGTCAAATGTGGGCGACCTGGACGAGGACGGGTGAGAGTGACGTCACGCAAAAGTCATGACGTCACGCCAGGGCTGCCTCCCATGATGATTGCAGTGCTCTGGGCTTCGATAACGGCCACCGGACAAGACAGTCGTGGAAGGATCACCCACGCAGAAGGGTTACAGCCGCCAGTCTCTTGTCTGCGATGTGTCTAGTGATCGTGCCGTACCCAGCACGGCGCCGCGGCATCTGGCGTGTATCAAATGCAACGGAAAGGCGACGGGCGGTCGAAATGCTGCGCTCAGCAGCCGCGGGGACGTCACTGTGGTGTTCGTCAGTGATGGCGCCGCGCCCTTCAGTGGTATGCGCAAGACGTCCGAGCCGATGACAGCGCGCTTTTGAGGCCGGGCCCCGTGGCGGCCGGCCGTCCGCCGTGGTCGCGGCGCGGCACGTGGTCGTCCGACCATGCGCCGTGACCTGCGCTCTGCCGAGCATGATTGCACGCGCTTTGTTCGGTGGGGCACCGCGCTGTGGGTGGCGCTCAGATGACCGCGCGCTGCGCCAGTGACTGCGTGCGGACGGTGACTGTCTGCTGTGGGGTGGATTGGCCCAGCGCTTGCGAAATGAGCGCGAGCTCATAAACGCGTGGGGCAGGGCCGCTGAGTGCGTGCCGACGGGGCTGAGCTGTTCTGGCGGTGCAGGTAGTGTTTGAATACAAGCGCTGTCCGACCGCAGGTGGCCCGGTCAGTGACTCTGGCAAGAGAGAGGGGTGACACAACCACCAGGAGCGTCTTTAACATTCAGCTGTCTGCTACATAATGAAGCAAGAGAAGCGGATCTATTTGAGAAAATATAGGCGAGATTTCTTGGTTTTGGAGTGCTATAACAAGTGGCATGTGCGGGTGCATTTGACACAGATTCATAGTCTCTTTTAATATGGAACCGTTGACGTTGATGTGACTGTTGTAGCATGAGATATTGCTGGGCGTGCCAATAAGAGTCGGAATGAGCGCCATGCCACTATTACCGACGTTTGGTTTTATTCGGAAGGGAACTGACCGAACAACAATGAGCTAACTTGATGTCTGATCAGATGCAGAATGAACCAAATTCGACAAGCTTCGGAAGCACGTATGTTCTCTCGAAACTGTGATGTTAAAACCAAACGACGAGACGAAAGAAAGCCGCGATACGATCGCTGTGTTTGCAATGCCGTGAATTCAACAGGAGCCATGACAATCTTCTGCAGGGCATTCAGAAACAACTCTCAACTTATATAATACGCCAATAATGCATTGCTCGCACCAACAATGGCACGGGTCGTTGAGACTAGCGTCGTCTTGTGCCGTGTTTTCGATACTGTAGGGGTGATGGCACCAGCGATGTATCGGCTTGTAGTGTTCAGAGACGTATGCGTCACTTTGCATCTCGAAGTTCTCCAAGAATGCGAACTGCCTGTCCTGGTGTGGACGGGATGTCTTAAAGTTACGCTTGGGTTGGAATATGAAATGATGCATATACGGTTGCAAAGACCGCGAACACCACCGCGTCAGTGGAACGACTCCGGTTTAACGAACAGTCCAAAAGATTCCAACGTATGTGATGACCAAACGGACAGTACAGATGCATACCTACACCATAAGCTTGGCTTTCCTCTGATGTGGTCCTGATGGCATTGATGGAACATTTAGATTTGGGTCATAGTTTCTTTTGAGGGCCGTTCCGTATTGTTAAAGGCCATCCGCCCAGTGCTCACCTCACTGAGGTGAGCGGCGCATGCGCAATGAGAAATAAATGTGGTATGGCTAAGCATGGCAACAAAACGCATAATTTGTATTATAGGCGCAGACCTATGCTTTGCACTAATGTCACAGCGAAGCAATCATTTGATGCCACCATTACTGTACTATGACCGCAATTTTTAATGGGCCCATCCACAGCGCTGCCGATTTTTGCGCACGTCGAACCGAGCGATTCACAGTTGTGTTTGGGCAAGTTAAACACGAGACTATGATGGTGCTGAGGTGCAGCGAACCAAAATTCATTAAATCCGAGCCAGAGGGAAGGAATTATATGGGAGGCACGTGGGGGATGTGTTCCTCCCCTAGCTTGGGGATGCCGGTTTGTGCGTTTGTCCCGCTTCCAGAGACGAGATGAAATGGATAATGGTGGGTGAAGGATATTGCTTTGAAGGCAGAAGATCTACAGACATCAGAGAGCCAACAACAGGTAACGGAAACATCAGAGCCCACGGAACCCACACTCGCAATTTCATGCTAGCACAGGCACGCGTAACGGGCTGGTACGAAGCGCAGACACTGATCATAGCGGCATTCAAGTAGGCAATTCATGCGAGCAAAATTATACTTGAGAGAGGGGGGTGGGGGGAAGGCAAGGGACACGTTAAGATCTCTTGGAAAACTTTCATATAGCTGTACACGTATTAAATTTCCTTAGTCTGTTATTTCATACTACAGTCCATTTGTTCCATCTAATTGGACATTTGAGCATCGTATGCTTATGCTGAAAACAGTCGCATGCAACTTTTGGTCATCATGTCTGATCATCCTGAAGTGTGAGAGAGTCGGTTGAATACAGTTGGCGCTGAACTGTACCCAACAGACGTCCTCGACAGGAGGACAATTAAAGCCTTTCTTCTAAGCGTTTTGCATTTACGTTTTAGACGCATACACGACCGAATGTATGGTGCAGTGTAACCAACGAAACAATGACGGACTAGGCGCAGAATAACCATGGTGTGCAATCGATGCGCCCTAAAACCCCATTCGTTATTTTATTTTTCATATTTTTCATATTCGGTACTGAGAATGATGACCTTGGGACCTCCAAATCTCCGCGCATTCGTAAGCAGTTTCTCAAACCAACGGCATGGAACATTTTGAAGTTCAAATATTTCACGCGAAAAGCCTTCGTGAACATGGATATCATGAAGATCATTCTGCTATGCTGTACACGGGCCGATTGTTTGCTTAGCTTTTGTTTCACCAATTCGAATGACATCAGCTGAAATGAGAAGAACGATCAGTGTCAAAGCACGTGATAATCTGGCATGCAGCCTGCTCTAAGAACATCACAGGCTTTTTTCCAAAGATGCCGAAGCAATTGGGATTTCCCTGCATTTTAGGGAGAAGGTATCACGCACTTTTGACTTCGGGCTTCAAGCTGCCTGCTTTTCACATCTTGATATCATATTTCAAACCAAGCTGTCAGCATGTTCAATCCATTTTAAGCGTGAATATGTGGAGATGTGTAGGTCAGTGATGTTGCTGAGGAATTAGCTGTTATTAACGTGTCGTTCATGGCTTTCCAACCAGATGCAAATATTTGCCAGATATGAATGAACCCCAAAATGTCCAGGCGTTCGTCCCCAAAAGATAAAGAAAAGCACGAAGTGGATCCTGGAATTGTCATAAATGGATATGAAGCCGATGGACAGACACATGAGGAAAAGACAGTGACGGGTGAGCCATCCACAAGTTTACTTGCACTCCCCTCAACTCAACAACTTATCGCAGCCGTTAGAACTAACCATGAGGAAAAGGAAAGTTCCAGGCTTGCGTCCCATGTCAGCTCATCAAGTTCGTTGGCGGTTCCCTCTGTTTCGTCGCTTGGCGCAGGCTTTAGAACGCACGAGGAGAACCAAAAGTACGGATCCCAGCTGTCAAATACAAGCTCGCGACCTTCCATTTACGAGGCCGCTTATCTTAGAAGAACGCCAAGCCACATGGAAGAAGTTGACAATATGTGCATTCATAAGCTTGGATTCGGTTTCTTGAAGCCTTTTCAAAGTCATCCGCAGCCGAAACACAGACATGCGGAGGGGGTTTGGCCATCCGCGCTTCATTCGGTATGCGTGAAGCTGCTCGCTCATATTGGGACCGCCGAATTCACTCTGGCCCCGCGGCTCGCGTGGCATTACGGAGGACTCCTATACTTCATGGTAATGACACTTCTGATTTCTCTGACGTCTTTTCCAATGTATTTTCTCGAGTCCATTTGCGGACAGTACACTTCGAAGGCCTTTGCGGTGTTCCTTCCCCAACTTGGACCGATCTTTCGCGGTCTTGGGTACGCAATACTTATTATCACCATGTTCATAAACGTTTACCACATGGGCCAGGCAGCGTGGATTCTTGTGTACACGTATCATGCTGCTCAGTATCCTGTGCCATGGGACGCGTGTAGCCCCGCATACAACTCCAGATACTGCTTCTCGAACAGTCTACAGGACAATTGCGCCAAGAAATCCAACAACTCTCTTTATCACAACTTCACGTGCATGACATACGCCGAGTACTGCAGCCTGAATGGCTACCGTCACTCGAATGATACACACTGCATCAATCTGCTGAAGTCCAACCACACCGCTCGATGGATACTAGACGACCAGGAACACGCTGAACAGCGCGCCGACGCGCTCGACGTCGAAAAAGTGCTCTTGGTCGGTCGCCGCGAGATAGCTCAAAGGGATTTCTTTCTACACTACATTCGCGGTGAGCACGCGGACGGAACTCCGCCTGAAGCGGTTGAAAATCACCGGCGGTCCTCGGCGATATCATACTGCGTGTGCTGGCTGCTGGTCTTTCTGCCCTGCATCAACCTGTGGGTGGCCTCGTGGCTGGCCGTGGTGGTAGTGTTGTGCAGCCCCCTGGTGTTGCTCCTCGTCATGACGCGCGTGCTGCTCTTCCCCGGCGCCTGGTCTGGTATCGCCATGTTTTTCTACGGTCGCGTCGACTTTGCCAAACTGCTGCACAGAGACCTCTGGGTGGACAGCATCGGCATGACGTACTGGAGCGTCAATATCGGCATGGGGATGATCCCGACGCTGGGCTCGCGCGATCGGCTTCGCCAACGCGCGTTCTTCACATCCGCCTGCATCGTGTTCATCGACCTCGGCTTCGGCATGCTCAACAGCCTGCTGATGTTCATGGTGCGCGGGAACCTGGAGCAGCAGTCGGAGATGATGCGCCAGCAGCTGGAGGAGCTGGACGACGACTCGCAGGGCCTGGCCTTCGTCTCGTTCACCGCCATCGTGGACTCGATGCCGCGGCCGCAGTTCTGGGGCGTCCTCTACTTCGGAGCGATGGTGGCGCAGAGCCTGGGCCGGGTGACCATGACTGTCATATGCTGCGGACTGAACTTAATCGACGCGGTGCCCCTCTTCAGACGCGTGCCGTTCGCGGCCACCGTGATTGTCGCATTTGCGCCCGGCTTAGCCTTCGCCGGCACGCGAATATACAGCATGTTGAACGGGGTGAAGTGGTCGATTGATCCCCTGATGCGCATCCAGTGGACGTTGGCCACCCTGCTGTTCACGGTGATCATTGGCCTCAAGCTCTCCGCCAGCGCCTTTCTGGACGAGGTGCGAACCAAGCTGGGTCAGGACATCGCCAGCTGGCGACAGTTTCTGCTCGTCAGCTGGCTGTTCATAAGCCCGGTGATGATGGTGTTCGAGCTGATGCGCCTGCTGGAGACGTACCGGTCGCCGCCGGTGTCGGCCGGCGCCCAGTGGACGGCCGCGTTTGGCTACATCGCCGCCGCCGCGCCGCTGCTCGTCGCACTGGTCGTCACCGTTCGCGTCTGCCTCTCCACGCCGTTTATGGCCCTGTGCCGCACGTCGGCCGAGTTCAGGCCGGACCCCCGCGCGCTGCACGAGCTGCACCACCGCCGCCCCAGCCGGCGTCACTCCAGCATGCACCCCAGGGCTAGCTGGCGGGCGTCCAGCCTGGCGGGCGGCCGCGTGGCGCCTGGTGACTCGCAAGCGCACGTGCCGCGCGACTCCAAACTCCTGATGACTGACTCTCTCGAAAGTGCAGGAAAACCAACGCGGTCACCTCCCTCGCAGCGCGCCTCGTACGACAAACAAAGTGACTCGTTTTACGACGAAGATCTCTTCTGAAGTAAGCAGACAAATATGTCCCTGAAGTGCACGTGCTCCATAAAGATAAAGCACGGAACAATCGTGAAAGCCGTTTGCTCCCAGCCTTTACAAGTTCTGCGTACATGGGCAGGAAACTAAGAGGTCGAGGGTTCACAAAGACGCGACAGAAACGCTTACGTGGCTGTGAACCCGGGTGCGGCCTGGTGACCTCATGGCGTGAGTACTTAGCACTGTCACGTATGCTATCGCATAAACAACGCATGGGCACACCAACGTGTATTTTACGCAGCAGACGAGACGAACTGAAACGGAAGTTGATGATGTGATCACCAGTAGCCAGGGACAGCACAGGAGAAGGCGTGGGGGGAGGGGGGGGGGGGGCAGAGGGAGCAGTTCCCCTCCTCCACTCTGGCAGTAGACAGGGAGGATAAGAGTGTGTTTCTGCCTCTCTTTAAAAATTTTGGGAGGCCGCTTTTGCCAAGAAGGCTCACGTGGATTTTTGAAATTCCGATTGAGGAGGCCCTCATTGAAGAACCGCCCGATAGCCTGCTTGGGTACACTTAATCTGTCGGCGGCCCTCTACACTGGGTTGGGTACTTCCTATTTGAATGAAGGGTCAGGTACTCGTGCTGGAAGCACCATCTGTGAACCCGTTCGTGCACACTCGATCGTTTGGGGTTCTCCGCATTATGGCGTGGGTATTTCTTACTTTCATGGAGGGTCCCACGCTCTTGTTGGGAGTCCCCATCAGTTAGCCTGCTCGGGCACGCTCGATGATTCCTGGGCCCTCCATGCCGTGTCTTGGTTACTTCTTTTTTTGAATGAATGGCTCTGTGTTCTTGTCGGGACCCAATCTGTCAACTCCAACGCGTCGCAACTCCTTCATAACATACAAAGCAAACACTCCACATTAATCACCGGCCATCAGCTGATCACATCGGCCAGCCGACTAGTTGTAAATTAGCTACGAATCAAGTTCGTGCTTGGTTTTAGTGGTTTTAGCAGCCCAATTTAGTATTATTCTTATGTATTTTTTCCGAAAAACCTAGCCTCAAAATGACAGGATCTACCACGATCTGTGGAAAATTTACATGCTCCATGTGGGTGCATGCGTTGCACGCCTAGCTTCTAGGGCCAGGCACAGTAAGATGGGTTCCCGCATAGAAAGACGTACCAAGAACCTGAAAGATTTAATGGCCGGAATGCGAGAAGTTTTTGAGGGGCCCTTAACGCTACGGGGCCCCACAATGCTGCGTGCCCCTCTCCCACCTTGACGAAAATCCTGGATCCGCCCCTGATGTTTGTTTTGCGAATGCTGCACTGACGCATGCTAGATGCGGGACATAACATGGAAACGACAGGCCAACACAACAAATGGGCCAAATGATGTCATTTTAAATCGATGTCATCATTCGGTAAGGCATTCTCCTTCCGATCCGTTTTGTACGGATAACATTCCTGTGTCGGAATGCGTGCTGGCTACGAGCTGGTTCATGAACAGCACGGAAGCACCCACTCTGCATTAAGTGTGGACATTGATAGATGAGATGGACCTTCCCCTTTATCCCTTCCTTTTGAAACCCATTGATACCAAAGGAAGTTGAAACAAAGTTTTAGCGGTCGCACATCAAGCTAAAAATTTGCAGTTGAATTCAAAGTTTACCTCTATGCACGTAAGCACTTGTATGAATATGTAGTTGTCATGATCGTGTAGGTGGTGGCACCTGTACCTAGTTATTCGGCTTTCATCTAGTATCACTTTCATTGACATACCCTGGCTAGCTGGTCTTTTGGATCAGTTGAAGTGTCAAGTTTTAAATATCTTGTGAAATGACGCCCTCATGCGTGTGTAGATGAAAAACGATTACACAGATACCGGGTTTCTATACCGCGACCCAATTGTATATCATGCTACTATTGGTGCCCATCTTTAACTAGACCCACATACAAAGTTAGGCTAGATTAGGCCACGATAATCAAAAGGAGGTATGCGTTAACCCGTTCTCTTTCGAAATCGTCACTGCTAAGCATTGCTTGCAATGGGGTTCTATAGGCTCCGCAGTTCTGCGCACTTTTCCAAATCAGACCGCGCTTCGCCCGCATAGTTATTTCGGGGACTGCTTTTTGACGAAATCGTTACCAGGTGATCGCAGTACTTTTTAAAAGAGAGTTGCGTTGTGTGCTCAACCTGAGTAAACAAAGCGGTCCCTGTTGATACGCACCCGGCGAATGCAGTTATTTGGTGCATACGTTTGAAATTTTACATTCCAACAACTAAGAAATGCACCTTGATTTTTCAAATCACATGGGATAAGTGGCAGAGATTCCTTGAACAATTCGAGGAAAAAGGAAGATGATAATGCCCAGGCAATTGTAAGTGGGTAACTTCACGCTTAAGATTTCCCTTATCAAATCCATCAGGTACTCCTGAGGCTGTGCTCACCCTAGATGGCTTCATGGGTGATATTTTGCTAACTCATTGCACCCAAAATTTAAACGGACCTAAACGGTTTCCCATGCCACATGTCCAGATTTCATCTGACCTTGTCAACCAGCTGGGGCATGTTCATAAAGTTGGATATAAAATCAATGCTGAATAACTCCTGTTCGCGATCGTGGCACCTACATATTATTCCAGTAATGCTCGCACTTTCGGAGGCAAACTTGTGCAACTTCAGCAACTTTCATTCGAGAGAAGACAGAAATTCTTAGCGCGATGGTGACCACTACCATGTTTTCTACGTAGAGTTTGCTATAAATTGGCTCAGAAGGAACAAATTAACGAGAGAAGTCAGGACCTCTATGAATTCTTCCTCTTAAAGGCAATGTTCCGCGTTGAAGATATTAAATCAAGGATCATATATTATGACATAAGCTCATTTATTTATATCTGTTGGTATGCTTCTAAAGGGAAGGGACTGCTCTACGTTATTGTGTGATGGCGTAATTGCACCTTGTACAGCATTGCTTGAGAGCCAATTGACAGCCATTATGTCTGAAAATTTTGCTCACGAACGCCAGATATGAACCACTCAATAATTCATTTGCCTGTGGCTTGGTCGCTGCATGACGAGTGGAGCGGCAGGATTTGAATGACGTTATTATCACATGGATGCTCGATAACATTAAAATAGCCTGCATGACATAGTCTGCACTCTTTACCGGCGTGTAGCCTGAAAACGATAGGGGTTTTGATCCTAAGAAGGGCAGGCCTGTGAACTACACCGAATGATCTTCAAGATGACTATTTCAGTTCAAAACCCTGTACAAATGTAAAACCCTTCCTCAATGCAAAGTGGACAACAGTAATAAATAGCCATTTCAGCCAATGCGCTGCTCCTCTAACTCATAAATGCAAACCTGAAGCCAGCGGCTTCAAACTTCGAGGGGAACGCAAGTCAGGAGCCTCGGACGTGAGAACACGAAGCCCAAGGCGACCCATCGGTTCAAACTCACGAGGTCGGAGCCGAAGCCGACTTACATCGTTGTCATGTGAAACAAATTATTTTCGCGTCTGTTAAGCTTCTAGGGATCAAAACATACCATTGGGCTTTTGTGAATAGTCGTGACGAGGTGCCTACAGTGCGCATGGTAAAAGTGGGCAGTAGGGCAGTCCGTAGGGCAGTCCGTAGGACCGTAGGGCAGTCCATCGTCCTGGTGTTGCGTGCTAGTATATGCACAATGTTTCGGACAGTTATTCCCCGCCCGTCGTCAGGTGTCAATTGGTGCTGAGAAAGACGGGTTGGTGTTTGGCTTTCGGGCATGCACGTTATAGCGGCACTTCTGGATCACAGTTCCCTGTTTTAGGATGACCAGGCCCTTTGCTGGATTTGAGAGCCCATTTGTGAATCGGAAGGATCGAATTATATCTCATCAGGAAGCCGCTGTATGCAGCAGAAATTTCATAGTTGGCACAGGAAGCCTTGTTCCCAGATTGGGGAATCCCTTCGCAGACTCAAGAAGACACCTGTATTGATCTGAACATCCTCGTTCTTGATAATCAACTGCTGCTCCCTCTTTACATGGATATTTATGGATGTAATAATTCGATAAGTGAGCATGTGTCGCTGGGGTCCCTGCTGTTGAAGACAATACTGCCCAGGAGGCCTGTTTGAGGAGGCCCCATTCTACCCAGGAGCCCACTTGGAAAATCCTGCCGCAACTCAGGCCCCCTGCCAGTAGTAGATCCTAAGTCGTTTCATGAAGTGCTGACCCTTCCAGCATGGACGAAGCATTCGTTCCTTTTGAAATCCCGTACTCTCAACCAGTGGTGAACCCGAAGGGAGAGGGTTTTTTGGTGCAGTGCATCTCCTGGAGGTCGTGGGACAAACTGGGGTTGAAAGACGCAACACTTTTAACACCTTGGGACGACCGTAGGGCTTCCAACTCAAACAATGCTTCAAGGCATTGCAATGAGATCCCGAGCCTGCAAAGGTCCCCGAAGAAAACAAATGGGGTCTCCATTGAAAGGATGTGGGAACCCTTGGCTGGGAGCTCCAGTGTCTGTCCGCTCCCATGGCCCCAACGTCTGGCCGCTGCGTGGCTTCAGTGTCTGGCCGCTTCCCTCGCTCCAGTGTCTGACCGCTTCCCGTGGCTCCAGTGTCTGGTCACTCCTGTGGCTCCAGTGTCGGGCCGCTTCCCTCGCTCCAGTGTCTGACCGCTCCCGTGGCTCCAGTGTCTGGCCGCTTCCATGGCTCAGGGGTCTGGCGGCTACCGTGGCTTGGGGGTCTGGACGCTACTGTGGCTCCAGCGTCTGGCCGCTCCCGTGGCCCCGGGGTCTGGCCGCTCCCGCGGCCCCGGGGTCTGGCCGCTCTCGTGGCTCTGGAGTCTAGCATCCGCTCTCCGTGGGCCCCGGGGTCTGGCCGCTCCCGTGGCCCCGGGGTCTGGCCGCTCCCGCGGCCCCGGGGTCTGGCCGCTCCCGTGGCTCCGGGGTCTGGCCGCTCCCGTAGCTCCGGGGTCTGGCCGCTCCCGTGGCTCCGGGGTCTGGCCGCTCCCGTGTCCCCGGGGTGTGGCTGCTC